GGATTACAGAAGACTATGTTATGTAACGGATCTTCCGGGGAGGAGCAAACAATGTTGGCAAGCGCTTTGATGCGGAGCATTTGGAGGGTTGTTGAGGGCAGTCGTGGTCTGAGCACGCATTCCAGTTGCTCATCCTTGTGAAGATTTGGGTCTGTAGGAGTCAGAGCATCGAGGCCATAGCAGAGTGTAGGGAAGGTGGTGCGGAATAGGTATAGTTTACGTTTCAGTGAGCGGCGGCTGTTCAAGACGAATCACCCAGAGACTCCAACATCCCTGAATTAAGGAATATACCTTAAATCATATTAGGGATCCTATTATAGTTTAAGGTATATTCCTTAATTAAGGGATATTGGAGGCTCTGGGGAATACAGAGCTCCGAAACGCTGAAGGGTCCCTCTTCGACTTTTGCTGAGTCCAAAAAAGCGGGAGGTGTGTAAGATTCATGCTTACCTTAACCCCACGTAACCTACCTTTTTAAGGATTTATATAAAGAAATCATATTAGGGAACCCTAAAAAGGTAGGTTCCTTAGGGTCCAGGTATGCAATGCAAGATAGGGGAGCGAAGCCCTAGACTGGAACCCAAAGCCCTGAACTCGAAGCTCTAAGCACTAAACCCTAAAGTCTAACAAGGATTTAAGGATTCCTTGGGCTTTAGGGGTCTCCTTTGGGAATCTCCTTGTGGGATCTATAGGGGTTCCTTTAAAGGGGTCCATAAGGGCTCTATGAGGGATCTATTGGCTTTGATGATTAGAGTTTAGTCTAGACTTCGATGTTTTTTATATTACCTGCATCAGGGGACCCGAATACAAGTCACTCAACCCCCCTATGCTATAACCCTGCAAGGGCCAAGCCTAAACACCGGTTTCTGAACTGTAAATCCTGAATCTCCAAACCCAACAAAATGGGAGTCTCCGAAAATAGGGGACCCTAATAAAGTACCCTAAATGGTAGGATCCCTAATATAAGGAGCCCAAAATAAGGTACCCCTATTTTCGGACACTCCCAAATGCATTCTGCACCGGAAACCCTTGAACCCCGAAACACGAACCCAGTGTTGAAGCCGCAAGTTTCGGGTTTAGGGCCTCTAACTTGTGCAGAGCTTTCATGACAGAATAGGGCATTTTACGGTGCGATTACACGCATGGCTAGAATCACAAGCCCAAGGAATGGTTTATGCCAGTACTTGCTCCATCTTCGATAACAAAGCACCGATGAAGCGTGAGGTACAAACCTCTGCTCACTGCTCATTCCCCTAAGCCTCAACCCTGAACCCTAAACCCGAAACCCTAAACCCTAAACCCTAAACCCGAAACCCTAAACCCTAAACCCGAAACCCGAAACCCTAAACCCTAAACCCTAAACCCTAAACCCGAAACCCAACACTCTGAACCCCAAACCGCAAACCCTACAGTCTAAACCCTGATCTCCCGTAAACCGTCAAAACCCTAACCCCCATAGAGCCCTACTATAGATCCCCTTTAAAGGACCCCTTTAAAGGACCCCTTAAGGGAATCTCTCTGTAGTTTTTTAGGCCCCTAGAGTAGGTAGTCAAAACCCTACACCCCCCCTGCACCCTAAAACCTAAACCCCAAAACCCTAAACCCTAAACCCCAAAACCCTGAACCCTAAACCCCAAAACCCTGAACCCTAAACCCCAAAACCCTAAAGCCCAACACCCCAAACCCCCAAGCCCCAAAACCCTAAACCCTAAAGATCCCTCATGGATCCCTTTAAAGGAAACCCCTATAGATCCTCTTAGGAACCCTGGGAACCCCAAACCCCAAACCCTAACCCCCCCCAGAGGCGCTCCTTCGAGGTCCTCCACGACGTTACTCTGCGGCGGCTTCGTCGGCTGGGGCGACGCGTCCACTCCTCCAGGGCTTGGGGTTTAGGGATTTTTTTGGCTTAGGCGTTGAGAGTTTAGGGTTTAGGGGTTTAAGGCTTATGCTTTGGGGGTTTAGGGTTTGGAGGCTTAGGGCTTAGAGGTTTAGGGGTTTAGGATTTTAGGGGTCTAGGGGTTCAGGGCTCCTTTCAGGGCTCCTATAAGGATTACTGTAAGGGATCCGTAAGGGTACTATGAGGGATCTAGGGCTTTTGGGGCTTAGGGCGCAGGGCCTGGAGTTTAGAGTTTTTTTGCTTATAGAGGCATTGAGAGTTTGGGTCTTGGGGGCTTAGGAGTCTAGGGATTAGGGTTTGATGGGTTTAGGGGCGAGGTTTATGGGTTCATGTATGTAAAGCTGCAATTCGACTCTAAACCCACACCCCTAAACCCATCAAAGCGACCCCCCCCCGAAACAGCTTGCAAGCTTTTCACATCGCAACCCAAAAGCTGTTCCTGTGCGATTTTGCAAGGTTGTGCTATCAGAATTTTGTAAGAGTGATGTAAGGGTTCGGGAAGGACTTCTACCGGGACCATACACGGCATTACAAGGGTGTTCCTGGGGTGTTGTATAAAGGTTCTAGAAAGGTTTGCGTTTAGGGCTTTGGTTTGCTTGATGTGTGTTGACCAAAGCCCACATGTACAGGTGCACACCTGGTGAAACAAAAATCCTTGAGGTTGTGCCTGATCTGGTAGTCGTACATGATCTTGTGCTCCGGGGTTCTACTCGTCGTAATATGTGAAAGTACCTTTGTTCCGACTGTTATTTAGGACGGTGGCAGAACAGAAAGGGTCGGGTACTACTGCAGGATACTTCAACCCCTCCTTCAACCCAAACATCCTGCAACCCTACACCTCAAAGCCCCTCTCCACCAAAAGCAGCATCGAATCCCAAAAACCATTCCAGCATTAACCCAGAATGCCGCCCCCTGCCAGGCTCAAGAGACAGACCCCACTCTGAAACCCACCGGCCTCCGTCGCCGTCGTCGAGAGCCTGCCGTTTAGGGTTGAGGGTTGAGTGGACCCTAACAGAACAAACCTTTTTGAGGATTCCTTATCATGGCTTCCTGGTAGAAACCCGTGTTCTTTATGTGGGCCCGAACAGAAACTACCTCTTTCAGGATTCCTCATCATGGTTTTCTGATAGAAAACCGTAAGAATGGCAGGCCGTTTAGGGTCAAGGTAAGGTTTGGGTTTAGGGGTTAGGGCTTGAGGGCGCAAGGGTCGAGAAGGTTGGGGTCTACGGTCTCGAGCCCCGGAACCCGCTCATAAGGTTTTAAGGCTCAAGGCGATCTCCCCTCGATTCATGGCCTGTTGCCCCTCAGTACCGTAAGGAGAGAACAAACCCTAAACCCTGAGCCCCATGAACCCTTATAATCCCTAAGCCCCATAAGCCCTCTAATAACCCGGAGTCACCGTAGGGAGAGAAAAAAACCCAAACCCTAAACCCAAAACCCTAAACCCCTCAACCCTAAAATCGTATAGATCCCTTTTAGGAGCCCTTAAAGGAACCCTTATAGATCCCTTTAAAGGAAACCCTAAACCTTTCCTTTGGAGTCCGGTCCCAGGGCCCCATAACCCCAAGCCTTAAAGCGTAAAACGCCGATAGCAGTTTAGGGTTTAGGGTTTAGGGTTTAGGGTTGAGGGTTTAGGGTTTAGGGTTTAGGGTTTAGGGTACCTGAGAAAGATGACCCGAAATCCTTAACCCCACGCCAAACCCTTGTGGAGGTATTGTGGAGGTAGCCTAGAAAACTTCAGGGAACGTACTAGGCAACAAGGAACTGTCAAGGTGTAGGCTTTTAGGATGAATCGGTAGGGTTTGCGCTCCGGGATGTGGGCTTCAGGGATTGAGCTCCACCCTGCTGTTTGGTCTCTCTTAGGCTGCGGGTCGTAGTGTAAAACGGCAGGGTTCCTTTAAAGGCTCTGGTTCTTCTAAAGGGTCCCACAAGGGTTATTAAACGGTTACTATACGGGTTTGGAAAGGATGCCTGAATGGTGAGTATAGAGTCTTGGGGCATACTGGGGCATAGCTGTATTAGGGACTCATAGTCATCCAAGCATCTGAGGTTAATCCCCTCCCCAGTGACCCCACCCGCAAAATCCTGGCCACCGCCCCCCCCCAAAAAAAAGGCTTTCTGTAGGTGGTCCACCCCCTCCCCCTCCCCCCCCTCCCCCCGCTCCCCCCTCCCCCCCCTCCCCCCCCTCCCGCCCCCCCCACTCCCCTGCAGGTGCGAGCTTTCGGAGTTTTCGACGACACGGGACTGCAATGTAGCATCTTCATGTGCGTCTCAGGCTTGTTTTAGACGCCCTTTCGTTGGGATAGGCGGAGAACGTGGTTGAAAAGGCTGTGATGCTTCCCTAATCCAAGACGCCCACGAAATCCACAGCCTCAACGGCCCATACTTAAGGCATCCCGCCGCTTGCGAGAGTCTTGGTATCCAGTGTTTCGGAATGACGACACCAAAATTCGTACTGATACTACCACTACTAATACTACTCACAATCATCCTGCTTCGTGTTGCTATGAACATTACTTTTACTATAAGTGCGATTCCAACTGTTACTTTTTCCTACAAGAGCTTGCTGCAGATAGTAGCCACTCGCCGCATGCGCGTACAGCCGGGCCGAGGCGGACGACGCGCAGCGTTTCAAATTATGGTTCCTTTTTGGGTCCCTATCATAGTACGGCACCCAATATTTAGGTTACCCAAAAAGGGACCTTAATTTTGACAACTACCCCTGTAGTAGATGGAACATGCTAAATCAAAGCAACACTTGGACTCCAGACCCACGTGCTTTGAACCACCTCTCTCGTACCCCGGGGATCGTAACGGTAGGCCCTTTATCAGGCGGGGTCTGTTGACCAAGGGCAGGGTTTAGGGTTTAGGGCAACACTCTTCTTGCCATCCATGCATTTGTTGCCAATAGCAGTGTATGCTTACCGCTGCTGTTGCAATGCTTGCTATGGCCATCATTATGATCACTCTACACGGTTCCACTATAGTTTGCATAGTTACTTCATTTGCTGTGAGTATTCAGACATTGCACAAGTCACACGAACTTTTTCCGGGCGACTGCAGCAGATCGACGATGTCCCAGCGGCAAGAAACCATGGCCATGTCAACAGCCTCGAGATCCACACCGACACTTTGGTCGGCACCGGCCTCCAACAACAGCCGGACGATCTCCACATCCGGACGAGCTGATGTGATGGCCAGGCCGAGCGTAGACCGGACCACCTCTGTTGCTGTCTGCCTGCGCCTCCAAGAGAAGGCGGACGACCTCTCTGTGGCCTTCGCTGGCTGCTAAACCCAAGGGGGTGTCTCCCCGTGCCTCGGAATACCCCTCTGTCTCCGCCCTCGCCTCCAGTAGGACTCGCACGATCTCTGCATGGCCCTCTTGAGCTGCGACGCGGAGCGGCGTGGCCCATCCACAGGCCTTGTTCTTGTCTGCCGACGCTTCCAGCAGAAGCTCTACGACTCTGCCGTGGCCAGCCTGCGATGCCAGGCAGAGGGGCGTCATGCCCAGGCTTCCGATCAAGTCGGGATTTTGAGGCAGCATGAGCATCTCCTCTACCCTCTTCTCTTCACCATCCTTGGCATACCGGCCCAGTAGACCGACCTGCTGCTCGGAAGCCCTGCAGAAGTGTAGTAGCACCAGCTGGAAGTCCCCCGGCTCAAGCTGCACGTCATCCTCGAGATCTTCGTCATCCTTCAGCAACCTCTGCCTGAATCGTGACATGCCACAGAGGCTTTCCAGGCGATACTTCAGGTTTCGCACATTGCCGATGATCTCCACAAACTCGCCATGGAAAGCCATGAGTGCTTCCCCAGAGGCCTTGAAAACACGCAACGCCTGGTCCGAGGAGCCATGATTGCATGTCATTCTTCTAGTATATCATATCTCTGCTGAGTTGGTGGTATATCTTACATGATAATACTCCTCCTCGAGTATATCCTATTTAAATTGTATCACGGTATATCATACATGATACATGCCATTCTTCTAGCATATCATATATATATATATATATATATATATATATATATATTGTATCATGGTATATCTCAAATCTGAGTACCACTCTTCTATGCATCCACAACACCTGGCACTTGGCTGACCTGCATGTGTATATCCCTGATGAGGTACACCCTAGACCCTATACCTTGAACCCTGAGTCCTAGACCCTTTAACTCCAAACAACTAGTTTAGGGTTTAGGCATGACCCTATATCCCCAAACCTTAAACAGCCTTAGACTCCATGGCCCTAAACCCTTAAGCCCCAACCTAAATATCAAGGCCTCAGTCGAACCACGATGACCGGAGCTCAGCGGCAGCGGTTGCGACAGCCATTCAAATTTGTATCGGAGGGCTTACCTGTAGCCGAAAGAACCTACCTCTTTACGGCCCTGCAGCATGGCTCTATAGAAGAACCCTTTATAAGATTTACCATAGTAGAACATCAATACGATATACTAGAAGAACCCAGAAGCCCAGTACCCCTGAACCAAGGAATATAGCCTAAATCATCATAAGAAGCCCCTATAGATGAAGGTATCTTCCCTAATTAAGGGGTATTGGGCTCTTTGGGTTTCTAAGCCATTAAGAGATCTGATCTGGAACTCTTATTAGCTTCGGTATTACCCAGAGACTCCAATATCCCTTAATTAAGGAATCTTCCTTAAATCATATTCGGGATCTTATCATAGTTTAAGGAATGTTCCTTAATTAAGGGGTTTTGGAGGCTCTGGGTATTAGGGTTCAGGTTGTGGATTTAGCGTTGGTCAGCATCCCCTTTACCTTTTCATTCTTTACTAGGCAGCCTCCACGATAAAGCCATCAACCCTCAGCGCCAAGCCCTTAACCCTGGACCAGACCAAAACAAACTGTCAAATCTGTTAAACCCCTATCAAACCTCTTTAAACACCTGCAAAATCCATGACTTGCCTCACCGAGGTCTCTCCTGTTATCAACTTCATGGCTCCTGCATTCCCTGGCCCCAACAATCAGGTTGTTGAATTCTGACAAGTCGAGTCCCAACTCAGCTGTTGATGTTCTGCAATAGTAGAAATGCCGCGACTGCTTTGGTTCATTCCTACTCGCACTGTCATTACTGCCGTCCACTTTTGCTATTGCTGCTTCCAATGCTTCCTACAAAAACATGCCTAGCTCATATGAGAAAAAGCCATTCTAAACGCTACAGACCCCTTTAATAAAGACCGGTAAACAATCAGCTGTTATACACAAACTAAAAAACCGTCCTACGGTACAATAAATAACACTACTACGAATCCGACAAAATAAGCGCCCTAATGAACCCCTAACCCCTAAACCCGAAACCCAAAGCACGACTCCCGAAACCCTGAACGCTGAAACCCCTTTCAAAGGATCCCTTAAGGAAGGAACCCTTGAAGAACAGCTAAAAGAGTGTGGTTAAAAACCCTTTTCTTGTTAAAAACCGTCTTTAGGGTTCATTTAAAGGGTCCCCTTATAGGAACCCTTAATTTTTGTTTTTAGGGAAGCTCCGATCTTCGGGCGCCTCTCCCAGCTCAGAGCCGGCGCCACTCTCCGAGGTGCTGTCGGAGGGAAGCCCGAGTTCCTGCGTATTCTGGGCTAATTAGAATCGGGTTCCTTTAAAAAGCGTTCCGTAAAGGGGTCTATAAGGGATCTATAAGTGTACGTACTATTGTGTAGGGGCCGCTAAAATTAGGATAGGATCTCCTTTAAGGGGTCCTGTAACGGGTTACGGTAAGGTGATCTATGGTAGGGTTCTATGATATAGGGGCCTTAAGAATAGGAATAGGGTTTTGGGGCTCATTATACTATAATCATGACAGGGAACCCCAACATAGGATTGTTAGGAAGCCCGAGTTCCTGCGTATTTCTGGTGGTTTTGGGTTTAGGATTCAGGGCTTGGGGTTTAGGGTTTTGGGTTTTGGGTTTAGGGGTTTAGGGTTTAGGGTTTCGGATGCAGGGTTTTTAGGGTTTAGGGTTTTGTTGTTTTTGGGTTGAAGGTCGGAGGTCTTTAGGGTTCAGGGTTCAGGGTTGAGGACTTGGTGGGTTGAGGGTTTGGGGGTTGAGGAGGAGTGAGTGTTTAGGGAGCAGCCATCATAATGTAAATAAGGTTCCTTAAGACTTTGGCGTTTAGGGCTCCGTTAATCCAACGGTTTCAGTAAGGGTACTAAAAAGATTCAAGTACAGAAGCCTTGATGACTAGAATAAGGTTCCGTCAGAGGGTCACTGTCAGGGATACTACAAAGATCGAGGCAACTCGCACTTTTTGTGCGGCTGCTTGGATATGGCTTTAACAGTGTCTTCTAGTATTCAGAGAAGGTCTCCTATGGTCGTTAGATCGTTCTGGTAGGGTCTCGGTGTAGAGGGCTCGGGGTTCAGGGCTCTCCAAGGATTCTTTAAGTAGAGGCCACAACTAGACTAAGGCCTCAGGGGATTTCGTGATTCTGTAGGGCATCCATGAGGTTTGCATAGGAGAAGGAATCAGGGCAGCTTTGGGTCTAAAACGTCTTTTGGGTTGCACACGGCTTCTCTCATGGATTTATAGTCCGTAAATGAAGCTCCATAATGTTCTACAGTCTTCAGAGCTTAACCGCTCTTGCAGAGGTTAAAAGGTCTAGGCTTGCTTCGGTGTTGCAAGTCACAGGGATCTACAAGGGCCCACCCTCAGCCTTAAACCCCGAATGCCTCCAGGAGGGCTTCCGCGTAGCCGTGGGATGTCCGACTTCCTGCCTGGCGATATTCCGGATAGTTTGGGGGTTGGGGTGATAGAGGTAGACCCCCGATTCATGAACGCCCTAAAGGAACCCTGTGAAATCAGCGCTTTAAAAGGAACCCTTTAAAATGAACCCTGAAAAGGAACCCTTGAGCCCTCAAAGGAGTCCTTAACCCTCAAAGGAGCCCTTTAAAGGCTTGAATATGACGTCTTCATTAGGTTTTCGGGTTCAGGCTCATCAGGGTTTAGGGTAACCCCTAAACCCCCTAAACCCCCTAAACCCTCTAACGCCCTAAACCCCCTAAACCCCTAAACCCTAAACCCTCCTATATCCCATAAATCATAGGATCCATCATCTTCATAACCTTGGTAAACAGGGGAGTTCTTCAGTTCGATCCTGAATGGATACCTTAGGCTCCAAGAACCGATGACCTCAGGACCCCTAAAACCCTAAACCCTAAACCCTGAATCTTACATCCTGATCGCAAAAACCTAACACGAAACCCCAAACCCCAAACCTAAACCCTGACCCCTAAACTCCTAAACCTAGAGATCTCCACCTTAACCCCAGATAACATGTTTAGGGTTCTTTGTTTAGGGTTTAGGGGTTGCAAGAGTTAGGGTTTAGGGGTTGAGAGGTTAGGGTTTAGGGTTTTCCTAAACCCTAAACCTTACATAAGTCCTTAAAAAAACAGGTAATTTGGGGCCTGCTCCTTGGGCGCAGTGCTTCGCGCGGCGAAGCTGTGGGACCTTTGACAGGCTTCTATTGGGCACTGCCCCCACCCTGAAACAGTCTGTAGTACGGGTCATTTTGCAGGGCTATCTATCCATGACTCCATGAATATGTATACATATATATATATATATATATGTATATACACCCATCTATCTATATTGCGAATATTATCCAACTGTTACAGACTGGGGGCAATGTCCAAAGTTTCTAACTCATAGTCTACTGCTTTAGCATGTTAGCTGGGGGTCTTGACGTGAGGATGTACACGGGCTTGGGGTTCAGGGTTCGGCTTTGGCGTTGGGGGTTAAGGCTCACGGTTTAGGATTCGTTGATTCGCGTTTAGAGGCACCACGTTCCTGGTGTCAAAAGTAGTTGGGTATATACATATGTATGTGCATGTGTACATTGACTTTATTCATTGCTTCATTTATTTGTTGATGTAGCTATTCCGCTGAACGGCTGCATAAGCCTGAAACATGAGCCGCAAGCCAGCAGCTGCAGTAGCAGCAAAGGCAAAAGCAGCCGCAGTTGCTGTTGTGGTCGTTGTGGCAATAATGAAGCAAACATACAACAGTCGCAACAACACCACGACATAAGCACTACTGGCAACAGCCGCCATCGTAGTAACGAAATCGAAACTATCAAAGCAAGACTAGCAACATTAGCATCGAAATGGCAATAGAGACGGTCTCATGACAGCAAAGACCCTTGCAGAGAAGCAAAAACACGATGACATCACCAGCATTAGCATTCATACTAAATCCTACACCTTAAACCCTAAACCCTTACTCCCAACAATTGTAAGCTGGTTACTAGGCCGTTTTTGTTCTCAGGGCAAGTCTGCGCGATCTGAAGGAACAGTGACAACGAATACTACAGAAAGGTACGTCGGTTAGGGTTTAGGGTTTGATGTTCAGGGTTTAGGGTTTGGCAGGGTTTGGGTTAAGGAGCACCACAAGGACAAACCTATCCGTAACAGCCTCCACCAGGAATAGTAGCGGGACGAAGGTTTCAAGACGGTCACAGCTGATGACATTTGCCGTAGTGGAAAACAAAAAATTCCACAGTCACCATGACTATCATCAGGAGCATTCTTCATCGCCGCTGCAACCATCACCAGGGCTATGATCAGCACAATCCCGGTATGAATAGCTGGATAAATGAGTGCCGTGACACTGGGAACTGCGACGATAAACCAAAAGAGAAACAATAACTGCAGACATGTTGCCAGCAACGCTGTCAACACAGCTAGGACTAACGCGAACACTGGTGGCTTCAACAAGGAAAAAACACAGTCACCATTTAGAGAACGCAGAGACGGGGGGCAGAGGCATGGCTACAACTCTCATCATAATA